CCTTCAATATAATCAATACTGAGTCATCGGGGAAGAGAGGAGTCCCCCTTGCACCATAGACCCCCAGGAAACACAGCTGCCACCTCTTGTGTTTCCAATGTCACACGTGGCACCGCCCAGACACACCGGCCAGTGTGACCCTCTTCTCTCCATGTCACAGTGCTCTCACCCACGTGCATGGACAGAGACTGCTTATAGGGCCCCTTTAAGGATGCTTTGCCAAGGACCACCAGGAACAAGTCCAGTATCACAATTCGGGACTAGAGTCCCCCCCATTTTCCCCTGGGGCCAAGGGTCCAAAAGACAGAGATCGCCTTCTCTTCTTCCTGAAGATGGAGGGCATCCTCACACCCTCCTCAGCTCTCTCTCTGTCCACTCCAAAACTGGTAGTTGCTGAAGAAGGTCTCTTGGCTCACCAATGCATCCCCCTAAAATGCAGTCCCTCTTGAAAGAAAGAGTGGTTCAGTCTATGGTAAACAAGCAGAGTCCAGCCAAAAGCCACTCTATCATCTCCCCCCAACCTTCTTCTCTGAACATCTGAGGTTTCAGGCTGTCTTTCTTTTCTTCAAATTCAGGAGGAGTAATATTTCATAAAGCCTTCATTTCACAGGAAAGGGTTAAAATTCCCGGACTCCCCGGACGGCTGCAATCTCAGCCCAGGACTCTTTCTCTAGTCTCCCACACTGGGCATCTTCCCCCCCCCCCTCCTTCTCCTCCGCCGGCAAACTCCTAGGTGTCTGCTGGCTCTCTATCTCTTTTCCCTCTGGCTTAGGGGAGGGGGAACAAAAACATCCCAGATGTTCTCCACCCTTCCATCCGCAGGAGCTGGCCCAGCTCGGTTCCCGATTCCTTCACCCCCTGGCCTACCTCTGCAGGCCGCATGGCTCCCCTCCCCCACCCAGCCCGGGCTGGGGGGGGAGGTCCGTACCATGCGATGACCGGAACCAAAGAAGGACGAGTCCTCCTGGGAATTCCGCTTTTAACCCCTCTGTGTTCTCAGAGGCGTGTCCACCTTCAATTGGTCACCCCAAGTGTCAGTATCTAAACCTGACCCCTGACTGGATGGACCTCTTCCTTCCAAAAAAAATTCTCTTCCCGTGTCCAACCATGACAAACCAAGGGTAAAAGATGACCCATTTTACTGAAACAAGTTGAGCTCACTCCTGTGAGTTGAGCTGCACTTATGCATGCTCTGGGTGATCTGGTATCATCCAGCAGAAGTTGGGTTCTCAAAGACTAAAGCCTGCAGTGATCCAGTGCTTGATGATCCTGCAGTCCAATACAGAGAGGAAGTTGGTGATCATGACTGGAGAGTTGGAAAATGAATGCAAGTTGGCATTTGTTTCTTCTTGCAGCATGGCAGAAGCTGAAAGGAACCTCGGGCCATCATCTGGTTGCACCCACCCTCGATCAAGCTAGACCACCACGAGCTGTGTACCCAGGACTGTGCTCAGAAGTTTGAGTACCTCCAACACTGGAGACTCCACTGCCTCTCCAGGCCACCTGTGCCAGTGCTCAAATCAGCTTGATGTAAAGAAACCGTTCCCTGCTTTTCAGAGGGAGCCTCCCGTGCTTCAGTGTGTGCCCACTGCTCCAGTGCTGTCACCAGGCACCACTGGAAAGAGCCTGGCTCCATCCTCTTTGCACTGCCTGCTGGATGTTTATCTACATTGATGAGATACTGTCTGAGCCTTTCCTTCTCTGTGTTGTCCTTCCAGGAGATATCAGGGCCATTGAAGTTGCCTATGGGGACCAGAGCCTGGGACTCAAACTCTGAATTTAGATACAGGTACTGATAATGTCCTCCAGACTGTGTGGGACAGGTATATGTCCACCTGGTGCTCTTGTCAACTGTAGCTCTTCCAGAATTGAAGTAAGAATGGAGACTTCAGGGAGAATAGCTGCCACTCAGCTTTCTGTAGCTCCTTTTACTTCCTACACCCTGTTTTTTTGGTGGTCTCTAATTCTTGTTATTTGCTGTATTTTTCCCTGTGCAGGAGGGATGAGGAGGACCAGAATTTTATCACCATCTTCTCATTTGGCATCACACTTCAGTATCATCACCCATCAAACTGCTTTTCATCCTGTGAGTACCTCAAGAAATAATTATATTTAGGGCTTGTTTGTTAGGAATGCATGACTTGATGCATGACTTCAGTCATATCACCCCTGAGTAAGAAAAGAAAATGCAGAGGGCTGTGAGTGAAGTATTTTCTAGAAACATCTGAGGGGCAGTATGAAGCAGGACCATGGTGATCTTGTACTATACAAGCACTCTTCTTCTAGATACATCTTTCCTTGTAAAGGCAAACTCACTAGTTTGCCATCTCCAATAGAACTGAGCTCTGGTGCTGCATGACTGAAAGCTGCCAACTCCAACTCTGCGGCAAGCTCTGTAGCAGTCTGTGTTGACAGCTAGTGGCAGTTCCTTAGGATGGAAAATCATGTGGCAAGCCGTAATTGAGTTGAGGCATTTCCTCCCTCCTACTCTCCTCGTACTCCCAGAAGCACACTTGTCATGTCCCAGAAGAATGCGAAAGTGCCTTAACTTCCAGGGACAAACCTAGGTAGAGCATTGGCTCCATTTATTGAAGTACGTTTCACCTGTCATGTGAAATGTTTTGCTTGCTGCCTCATTCCCTAACTGGTTGAAGTTCTATTTTATCCACTGTTTGGGTAAAGTTAAGCAATTTATAGCTCGGTAGTATATGGCTTTTTTTCTGTTCTTTCCAAGTATCCCTGACTTTAGGAAATGAATCCCACCTAAACAGATTATTTAATTCCCCTGAACATTTTTTCCTTAACAACAATGGTGCAGCTTCTGAATTAGAGGAAAGTGTCTCTTAGCAATGTTGTCAATCCAGTGGAGAACTTGCTCAGAGGAACAAGTTTCAAATCCCAGATCCCTGCAAATTAGGGAGCATGAACATGGAAAAAAATCTACAGGCAGGTTCAGATCTGCAGATTACCCCAAAATGTTGTAGATTAGTTTACCCAGAGTTAAGACTTTGCTCTGATTTTTCTTGAAGTAATGCATCAGCAGAAGGTGGGATTAAGTGCACACAGGTGGCTTTCAAACACCTCCAAGTACCTTCAGCCCCCGGCTCTCTGCTACTATTTGCTCATCAGGAGAAAAGTTCTCTTATTTAAATAAATTTAAGTGTGACAGAACTTCTGTGGGAAAACTGGTTAGTGCAGTCCAGTGGCCAGTGCTGGTCAGTTTGCTGTTTTGGGTGGTGCCTGGGTTGTTGCCTATTTTGGAAAGAGAACTCAAACACCTACACTGCATTATCAAGGCTCATGTGCTACTTTTAAATTTCAGCACCAACACAGCCAGTTGCCTCACAGATTGTCTCTATGTTTCATAACTAATTAAGCAAATCACGTAGTAGTGATTACAATCAGGATAATGGATAGTCTTGACAGGAGATACAGGAGTCAGGAATCAGCAAGGCTATAAAACTAGCTGAATTTTATATTTCAATACCATTATTCCTAATTCTGCTAGCCATTGCCTAGACACTGGCACCCAAACAGGAGATCTGCCTAAAAAAAAAAAAAAAAAAAAAAAAAAAAAAAAAGGCCCTATGGCAGTTCTTTTGACAGCAATTTAGAAAGATACTGTTTCTAAATTCTTGCATTACATGCATTACAAATTTAACAATTTGTGCTGCTCCAAAATCCTCCAAATTCACACTAGAATTAACACAGAAGACTGATTTTGAAGTACCACTACATCTGGGAGGCTGTGACCCCAAATCTGGAACTTTAGAAGAAATGCTGCCTGCACAGTTTGCACATGCTTAGGAGAGCATTTGTGACTACGGTTGGCTTCAGTCATTGAAGCCTAAATCTGATGCTTCAGATTAGGTAATCTACGCAATACTGCAAAAATTTATGTAAAACAGTACATGCATCAGCAATGAATCAGAATTGACAAAGACCTGTCTCTTCTGTGAAGAAAAGCCTTGAAAACACACATTTTAAAAAAAGTCTTAAGTCAGTTTTTATGATCTCAGGTTTTCTTGCTTGTTGTTAGAGGTCTATAATGTTCCTGTCTTTGTTCTATTACGGCTTTGTAAAGGCTGAACTAGACTTGACTGTAACCTTCCCACACAGCAAAAGATACTTACTGACCTATACTGAAAAGAATGGACAGTATTTTCCTGAACAAATATTATTCCTGTAGTCCAGTGTACAAACAAAAGGTGTGGTACTATTTATGCACAAGAACATAATTTATTAACAGTGTCAAGTTAGTTACTGACAGTGCATATGAAATGGCCAGAATGACTTTTTCCAGTCAGACAGCAATTTAAGAGTCAATAAATTATTCCCATTTTATCATGGAAACTGTAGGCAGCACAACAGCCTAACTGACAGCAACACAAAAAAATGAATTAAGTAGAATTATTTTTTCAGGTGAACTGCCTGTACCTTCAACTAATTTAATTCTAAATGTCTTCACTGTAACAGTTCTTTCATGCTTAAAGAAAGCATAAATAATCCCCCAGCTGATACATACATATATATATATTTGAACACTATGGCCTTAGAAGCGCTAGAAAAGCTGTATTCAAAGAAATTGGAGTTGAACTCCAAAAGTTTTGAAATTACAGAACTCGTAGGTAAAGGTATCTTTTCTTCTCCTTTTCACTAAAATCAAATTCAACCAAGAAATTCTAACTAAACCCCCACTACTGTAAGGAAAACAGTCTTTTTAAAGAGATTGCAAAAAAAATTTACTGAACATGAGTCTGAACTCTTAACAAAATAATTAAAAGTAGAATGACTCCCTATGTCTTCTTTCCCCATCCACCTCCTGCAAGAGAAACTTTCTATAAAATTTACATCAATGAATTAATATTTAAATTTCAATTTCAAGGGCATGAAGAGCTTTTTAAATAAAATAAAACCAATACTAAAGCCTCTAAGTTACAAGATTTGTTTCAGCAACTTCAAAATTAGAATGAAAAAGACTACTCTGTGAGAGAACCACATTTAAAATGTGTTAAGAAATATTAGTTTTATTTAACCAGTTTTCACAGCTGAATATTTATTCTATAAAAACTTTACAGATTGTACAGTTTATATATAGTTCAAACTACTAGAACAAAGAAATAGGTCCCACAGATGCAAAAATACTGTACCAATCCAAGGTAAAGGCAGATTTACACACTGTACAGCTTTCCACTGGGAAGGGGAGGTGGGTCAGTTCCAAGTAAAAAGTTCAAAACTGTACAAAAATAAGGTTTGATTCAACTTTCATTCTTCATAATACATTCAATAAGATTGCAAGCACAGATACCCAAGTAATAATAGATATCTGCAGTCAGGAATCAATAACCACTCCTGAAAGGAATGCAAAATAGGTCTATTTACACAGGGCACTCTTTTACACCATACTGCATATAGTGTATATTTCAAATAATAAAAAAAGCATAGACAAAGAACATTAAACATCTAATATAAGGTAGTTTTTTTTAAGAGTTTTTTTTTTTTTTTAACTTAATAGTGTGCCAAAAGAATTTTAACTTATTAAATAATATATTCTAAGTGAACCTAAAATTTATGAACATAAAATTTGTTTTTTTGGTGTAATACATCAATTAAACCAGCAAACAGGAAAAAAGAACCAAAAACAAAACCCAAACTGTATATAAAGTAGTATTTTCACCCAGCAACAGGAGCACTTACGTAGTTATTAAAACCCCAAATAAACAAACAAAAAACCCCAAACAAACAACAACAACAAAAAAAAAACCCAGAGAGGCTTTTTAAAAACCCACTAAAACTAACTTATAACTTAGGATATTCATACAGAAGATATTCAGTGATTCACTAATACTGCAAAACAAGCTTTTTTTGAGTTGGTTTTTTTTTCTTCCTTCCCCCTTCCATTTCCCTCTGGCTCTCCCTCATTCCCTTTCCCTAAGAGACAGTGGTTTCTTCATGCTGTCTGGGTAAGAATCAGACATACTCCGGCCCCTTCCTCCCACCCCTCTATACCTCCCCCCAAAAAATAACAGAGTGTTTCCTTAGCATTAATCCTGAGCACACTCTCTTTTTTGGGGTATGTGTGATTTAAGCATAATAGGGTTTAGTTACCCCGAAGTTTTAGAATGTTTCATTACTTGAGGTATTTCAACCTTCTTCTGAGACAATGCCTTTTCTCTAAGCTGACTCATTGGGCAGAGAAAGCAAGGGCTGGCTAATACCCGTTTCAGTTCTGTATTCTCATGAAAAAGAAAAGCATTACTCCAGACTTCCCTGCCACACAGAAAATAATGCAACACCATTCACTTTTTAATTAATTCCCTATTTGATACAGTACTAACCAAAGATAACAAAAACTAGAGCTTTTAAAGAGATGTTTGGTAGTGCACTCTATCATTTTTTACCTTGTGTGTGTGTGTCTACATACACACTCTCACACATATTACATTTATATCTATATATATATAAATATATATATATATAAAAGACATATATAGATATATGCACACACATACACTTGTGTGTGTATACATCTGCATGTAACAATCAGGGAGAAAGGAGTTTTGTTCAAATTTAAGAGATACAGTACTTTTAAACCCCTTGACAATAAAAGGGGAGGGGGGTGTGTATCCACTCCTGTTCCCAAGCTGAGCAAGGGGTTAGTTTATATACGGGTTTTTTAAAAGGGCATATTTTGCTTGCCCTGATGTCCAAGAAATACAATTCCAGTGTCACGGGCATCTCATCAGAATTCATCAATTCTGTTCTGCAGATATTTTAACATTGAGTCCATCCCTTGTGCTGAGCCCCAGATTTTCTTCAAAACTTCACACTCCTTTTCATTTGCTTGTTCCAAGTCCACCTTCATGATGTTACGTACTAAAGCTTTGGATTCTTCAAGTACCTGGGCCAAAATTAAAAAATGGGGAGTTGAGTTAGTACTGCCTGAGAACTGAGCACCCCATGTGCTTCTATGGGCATATAACAGGTTTATATGGACAAATGCTGGAGCTGATTATCAATTTAAGCTTATCAATTCATTACTATGACTGTAAGAAATGTTTCTCATGGTCATCCTCCTTGTGGCATCCCACAAAATTTCCTTTACCTTACACCAGCACAATTTAAAAGTGCACAGAACTGTGAAAACAATGAAAATCATATAATAACTATAAAAAAAAATATATGGTTTTGTAACTACAGGGAAGTGCAAGTCCACAGTAGTGAAGGCTAATCATGACACACTTTCCTGAACTGCTCTAATAACTGGCCAAATCTTGACTTCTTAAGCACTTAAAATAACTGGAAAAAAAAAATCTCATTTGTTTTTTTCTGTTTAGAAAATGAATAATTCGCTTTTAAAATACAAAATTTCTAATGCACAGAATAGTTAATTTGTACTGTACCTTTCCTTGTAAGAAAGTTAAAATTACCACTATTTGATGCTATCTTGTGCAACTGCCAGTAGCATACACAACCACTACGTGTTACTTATAAAACAAAGTCTAGCCTAATGTCAAAGACTGTATTTATTTCCTTGGTAACTTAAATTAGAACTCAAGCTAAGTCAAGATTTCTGTGTTTCTGTGCAAATGTTAGAGCAACTGTTTATACTGTTGATTAGAGTAAGTTGGACTTCAGCAACTATGTTAATACCAGATTATATTATAAAAATCCAATGCTGGTTTATGTTCCTTATCAAATGCCACAGTACACTTCAGTTAAGAAGAATCAGATAGAAACTTTAAAAAGAATCCTAAAAAACCCCAAACCCAGAAGATACATAAAAATATGTCAAAAAACATTGTTGTACTATAATGCAGTCCTTGTTTCATGAACAGACTTTTTTTCAGGACAAAAAGATGTAGTTTAGTACTACTTAGATTAATTCTTATTAATCTAATCATAAAAATACAAGAATATAAAGGAAACTTACAACTGAATTACATGTGACTAGTTCTTTAATTCGAACCATTACTTCCTGTGTGAATGTTCCTGGCCAGAACACTTGGGAGACGAGTCCTTTGGCACAAGCTTCCTGCGCCGTCAACTTCCTTCCACTGAACAACATTTCATTGGCCTGAAGGGATAAAAAGTTACTTCTGGTATGAAATGTAATGAGACAAAACTCATCAAAGGAAAAATGTTCAAAACAAATAAGAAAGAAAAATGCCTGCACTGTTTGAAATAGTTTTATTACAGCTCTTCCAAGTTTTGATTAAAAAAAGAAAAATACTGGCCTACAGCTGGCTAGTCCATATTGTTGACCAGTACCAGGTCAGTAGTTATTGAAATGTGGATGTCTATGATTAATGGTTAAATGTGAAAATGTCTTCCGTCATCTCCTGGCTGTGAATGTTTGTTAGCTCTGGCTTTCTTGCAGTATTGCTGACTTGGTTATCTGTGTGTGTGGGAACAGGTTATAATGCCTGGCAAACCTGTAAAACAGCAATGAATACATCAGCTTGCCCTTTATAATGATGTATTCCAATTTCTGACCAAATTCATAGAAAATAAACATTCACATTTTCTTCAAGAGTCCAACACTGAACTGATAAATCCTTTCAGAATCTGATATAGCAGTCTTAGTAAAAACCCCCAGTATTTAAAAGATCTTGCACATGGTTTAAGGTACAGAATCAAGTGCTACCTTCTATGCAACAAGACGCTCTCTCTAGTTCTGTAGATGTTTTTGATTTGTAATTATTATGCACTTCACTATTTACCAATTTCCCCATTAAAGTTCTGTCCTGCAATTACTTTAATTCTAGCTTTTTAAATACAGTTTTCAGTGACATTCACAGGGAAACAGGCAGTGGAATTTAAAAAGTCATAGCAATAATCAATCTTAAAAAAAAAAAGAAATTAGTGTTATTATTTCCTAATGACCTATTTCCACTGAAAACACATGACAAACCCATTACTGGATTGTTGAAATATAGGGAATAAGGTTGTTCTAAAACACAAACCTGACAGGTGTAATATTCCTAAGGGGAAAATACTGAGGTTTTTAATGTTGTCCAATACTGGAAATTTTGGCAATTATTTCAGCAACTTTCAGTTAAGGATCTCAAATAATGACTAACTTAATAAATAATTATTTATTTGTTGTGCTACCATGTTCCTGGTGTTGCATTTTACACAAAAAGCAATTTGGAAACTCTGAAATTTGTTCCTTTGTAATGAAATATAAAGCCTGGATTCTACTGGCAGTTTACTTCCTGACTGCCAGTCCATTAGGAATGCAAGAAAAAAACCCAGCCACTTTCCTAGCATATTTTACTTTGATTTTACCATCTGCACATCTCTCACAGTTAATATGGAAAGCTGTGATTCACATATATTAACTGATAAAACCCCAAATCTCATGCACTATGATCAAGTTCTATACCCTATAGTTCTACCTTCTGAGAACACATTATCAAACATACATTAACCATTCATTCTCCAGAATGTATGTGAATAATAATAAGCTAGATAAAAATAATAAATATTAGATAAAAATCAGAGAGGTATACATGGTTGTTTAAAACAGGAATCCATTTTCCGACACAGTTAGGGGAAAAGTAGTCTTCCAAAATAATTTTAAAAATACTTAACATTTCTATGAAAGATCAAAACGTGAAGTCAATTTAACTAATAGTTAGGACAGGCAAGCATTTAAGCCAGGAGGTCAAGTCTACATATTCTTGACATGTATCTTTGCAAGGATAAAAATGAATGCTAGAAAGCCTTTTTTTCCCCCTAAAACTTAGTTGCAACTGCTGAGTTCTCCTAAACATTAAATATCATAAGTGAGAATGGTGCAGTTATCTTATTTCTGCCAGCTGTAACACAGTATTAGCATAAAATCTCACAAGAAATGAACATTCCCATTGATGTTCTCACTTGACAGTTTTTGAAGGGAAATGTCTTGCTCTGGCATCTTCACTTTTGATCTATACACAGCATCTGCTGGAGACCAACTGCTAAACAAGCTTTAATCTTAATAATGCTTTGTACCTGCTGTAAAAATTAACTCAGTGGTTACTTTCCAAGAAATATACTATAGCAATAGAAATGAGTGTGACAAAAATATTTCACTACGATTCTCATTACCAACTTTCTTTTTCTACTCTGATAGAAAATGTCTCCTTCCACAGAGGAACTTCACTTGGACCTCTGGATTCACTTCCAGTGAGGGCTTTGAGGCTCACCAGGGTCCTTTTGTGCAAGGCCACAGGTACCAGGGCCATGGAGCACATCAGTTGTCTTGCTCAATGATCAGGAGGCAGCAGCCTCTGAACCACCCCAGATCCTGCCTGTGATGGGGACCCCAGGCACTATGGAACCATGTTTTCCTTATCAAACAGAAAAGCTAAGACATCCTGCCAAGCATGCTGGGGACTGGCAGGGACACCCAGTGTGTGATGTGTGATCACACAGCTCCTGGGTTTCATATCTAGGACTTGAAAACCAGAGCAGGAACTCCATGGCAGACAGATAACATCTCCCCATACAGACATCACCTTCATGTCTTTTACAGATTATTTTCAAAACTCAAAAGCCAAGTTTAGGGACACTTCTAAAATTCTTGGTAATTCCAAGACGGTATCAGTTTTGAATCCTAAGGTTTGGGCTTCAAATTTCCTGGAATAAACTCACGGTTGAAAATGTTTGGGAAAAAAAAATCCCCATCCATGACAGCCCTGCTGACCCAGAGAAGGTGACTGACCCCACATGGAAAATATTTCCAGGAATCTTAAAGTGCAACATTTTTACACAACTGCAGCTAACAACAATGTATTTTAAGTCTGACTTAAAAGAGTTAGGGGTGGCACTACTCCTGCTGAATTGATACATTTGTAGAAAATGTTATGATGCATACAGAGGCCTTAATTCTTTACTTTGTATATTTTTTTTCCCCTGAATATTTTGCATTTCACTCATAGCATCTTCCTGCTGGAGTTCTCTCTCTCTCTTTTACAGACAAAAAAACCCCTGCTTCTTTATCAAAGTCTTCAGTATGGATTCTGAACATATTTCATGAAATGTGCTGAGTAAAGTTCAGCTTTGTTCCAGAGAGACACTGCTTTGCTGCAGAGAATCGAGGATAGTACAAAAACAGTGGATTTATTTTCCCCCTTTTTGCACTGACCATTTTGGAATTGCTACCACTGGAAGCTTTCAATTTAAATTTTTATATTTAAGAATGAGAGCATTCACAAACACAAATGAAAGAGCACACTGGGGAAGAGCTTGTGTTTTTTGCACAACTTCTAAAGAAATAAACAGTAACAACCACAAGTCTTTAAAGGACGAGTATGGACGGAATGGATGGATTAATGGATGGATGGCCAAATAAAAAGGGAAAGGAACAATCAGTAGTTTGAAACATGCTAAGGAATTAAAGATACTCTTATAAATGTTAATCTATTTTAGTTACCTTTTCTGTTCTCATCTAATAACTAAATCCAAATATGACACAATTACCTATTAGATTTTTTAGAAATGGTGTTGTAATATTTACTTTTTAAAATCAACAAATACCTACAGGGAAAAAAATGGCTTTTATAACGAACAGTAATTGTGGAAAACAGGTGTAGCCACAAGCACTTGTTTCATACTGTCCAAATTGGAATAGGATGTAGGTCTAGGTTTTCAAAGAACACAGTATGAAAAAACACTAAGCAAAATGAAAATAACATAGGTAGGAGATTCTTAAATAGCTTTTTGTTAGAAGTGCATGGAAGCTGAAATAGTTATTCTGCATAGTGGCATAAGACTGCTCCTGGCTGGTGTCACAGTGCTCTGCTATGCAGTGACACTGAGTGCCACACTGGTGCTGTGCTGAATGCAAGATACACATGGCTGGTCCCCACAAGGCAGCAGCAGGGGAGGTGTGTCTTGGTACACAGGACATGACCCTTCTGACACCATTACGGCCAAAGGTGGGACTAAATCCTGTGCCTGCTTTCTGTTTTGTGCATGCAGGTGAAGAGTAAGTTGTAAGAGCATGGAGCAGAAAGGCTATAAAGGGTAGCTTCTCATGAAAGTTTTTCATGAGAGAAAGAAAAAAATTAAGAAAAAGACAACACAGGAAGGCAAAAAGTCTTGAAATCACACTGGATAAATCATCCCAACTGAATTGTGAAGCTGCCAGCCCCTACCCTGCAAGCTACTTACAGAAGCCAGGCCCATTATCCGAGGGAATGTAAGGGATGAACATCCATCTGGACTTTGTCCAAAAGTAGTGTATGGTGTCTGAAACCAGGCCTTCTCGTTGGCCCAAACCACGTCACACAGAGGCAATATAGATGCTCCAAGTCCAATGGCTGGGCCATTTACTGCTACAATGATAGGCTTCTTAAACTGAATAAAAGTATTCACAAAATTCCTGAAGAGAAACAGAAACATGCGCTCACTACATATACTGAGAGTGTAAAATACACGAGCCCTTGAAAACTCTGCAATAATGAATCTTTACAGTAACATCACTTTCAAACCCAGTCTGATAACCTTTCACAATGAGGTGGATATTTGGTGGATGAGTGGAGAGAGGTGGATATTGTCTACACAGAGTTTGGAGTGAGGATTTCAGCACTGTCTCTCCTAAGAGTTTCATAGTCACGCTGTTGATGTATGAGCTGGATGAGTAGACAGTGAGGTGGGCTAAAAATGTTGGAATGGCTGGCCCAGATGGTGGTGACTCATGGCACAGGCCAGTGATTTAAGTGTTGCACCCCATGGGGTCAGTGATGGGTCCAGCACTGTTCAACAGCTTCACTGATGATTTGGTTGGTGGGGAAGCGCTTATCCTGAGTAAGTCTGCTCAGGATACAAAACCAGGCTAATACACCAGAGGATTGCTCTGCCATCCAGAGGGACCTCGACAGGCTGGAGAAACGAGCTGACAGGAACCTCCTAAAGCTCAGCAAGGGAAGTGCAAAGCATTGTGCCTGCGGAGGAAGAACCCCATCAATATATTCTGGAAGACAAGCTGGAAAGCAGCTTGGCAGAAATTCAGCTAGGGTTCCCAGTGGATACCAAGTTGAACTTGACCCAGCAGTGTGCCAGTGCTATCTATCCTGTGCTGCTTTAGGAACAATGTTGTCTAGATTTGCAGGAGCTGATCCTGCCCCTCTGCTCAGCCCTAGTGTCATTATGGACTTCTCAGTGAAGGGGAAACGGCAGATGGTCTAGCAAAGGGAGATCAAGGTGACTCAGGGACTCAGTGGGCTGGGCTTGTTCAGCCTGGAGAAGGCTCAGGGATATCATCAAAATGTAAAAGTACCTGAAAGGGGATGCAAAGAAGACAGAGCCAGCCTCTTTTCAGTGGTGCCTATTGAGGCAGTGGGCGCAAACTGAAACATGGGAGGTTCCCACTCAATAGCAGGAAACACTTCCTTGCTCTAAGGGTGGCCAAACAGGCAGCTAACAAGCTCGTGGACTCTCAGTCTCAGGAGATTAAAAAAAACCCCAGGAAATCGTCCTGGCAAACCTGCTCTAGGTGACCTTGCTTGAGCAGGTTGAACAAGATGACCTGCAAAGTCCCTTCCAGCCTCAACCATTTTCTGATTCTGTAAAAGCCTACCATTGCTCCCAGCCCAACCCATCATAGTAGTTGGGCAGGTGCAGATTTAACACCCCTCTACAAGCATCAGCTGATACAGCACTTTGGTACATTCACATGTCCCACAGCTCTCAGATAAGGCTGCACCCATTCCACACCTCTGGGTGCCACAGTTGTGGCACAGCCCTGCCTGTCCTCACTGTATTCATGTATACTATATGCTGTGTATACTTTATACACAACATAAGATATTTACCTGTGTTTTTAAGCGACAGTAATAAGGTATAAATGAAGATGGGCAAAGCATTATTGATCTTCCTTGAGGAGCTTTCCTTAACAAATAAATCTGCTTTTTAAAACTATGAACATAAACAGCAGAGCTCTATTATCCTATATCACAAACGTGTAAACTTCCCCATCTCATCTCCCTTCTTTTGGTTGGTAGTAATGCTCTGGATACTATGCTATTAGGTGCTAATATATGCATATTCTCATCCTCATTGACAACAAAAACGACAATTCATTCCAGTACCCACAAAATAAGGATGCTTCTCTGTTCTCAAACAGTAATGCCCCCAAGAGCTTCTTAGGAAAAAACAAAGAGTCATGCGTGTATGAATACATACAGGCATGACTCTATGGTATGGTATTGCTAAGGTAATTTTAAAGTTTGCTCCCTGTGTTACATATATTTGTATTTCTGCAAAACAGGAAAATTTTACTATATTGCATTCAGCACTAAAGGTTATCAACACTCCTCCTTAACTCATTCTACTGAACTGAAATAGCTAAATCCAAAAATCCAAATCCAAACCTGGAACCATCTCATGCAAGTCATCATACAAACATCCCATCCAGAGACTTAAGATAATTTTAATCACTTTTGAATATCCCAGAGAGGACCATCTCTGGAATACACAAGCAAAATATCTTATTTGAAAGGGAGGGTGTGTGGCCGTAAGTCTTTTAAGTCACCTTTGCCCATTTTATTAACAATGAATTAGGTGAAAAAACAGGTTTCTAGAAGGGCCCAAGTTAAAATAGTGATAGAAGCTCAGTGCTAAGAGCTTCTGGCCATATCTGAAATCACTGCATAAGCAACTTTTACATGAAATGACCAAAGAATTTCCTTTGATAAAAATAACTATAATCATCTTTACGAACCAACTGTGCCTCCAGTGAAATAGGCTTTACATGTCCATAGCCTTTTTTTAGAAACATGACCATTGACAACAACAGAAGGACTCTGAAAGAATATAGATACTCTGGAAGAATGCAAGAGACAAGGATCTCAAAACCAGTGCTCAAATGTACTTGTTTGTAGTGTTAAAACGTGTCTCCAAGATCCATACATTTTTCCTATATATTTTCTTCTAATTGGTAATAGTTCAGATTAATTTGTTTAAATGTTAGGTTTGGTAACTAGCATTGGGATGATGATCACCAGTATTAATCTACTCCTCTAAAATATCCATCATTCCACTTCTCTGAACGTACTATATCAACTCATTCAATACATGTCTTGAATTTTGGAGTATTAAATTGGTTTTCTGGAAACCTATGGCTATTAAAGTATTTTAATATTGTTTTTAATTGGAGGAGCATTGCAATACTCCCAGTTTAAATCTGAAATTAAAAATGCATGAAATGACAACCCAAATAGAAAAGGACAGGAAGCATAAAGACGCTATAATTTAACAGGTGAATGTCTGAGATCTTTTTGAATAAGAGGCTTTTGAAATAAAGATAGAACAAGCCAGGCCATATGATGAATAATACCCATCAGATGACTGAAGACAGTCATACATACCTAATAGCTTCTGCCATCTTAGTGCTTTCCTTCTTTCTATCATCCGTTAAACGTCGTATAAAATAAATAAAATCAAGACCACAGCAGAAAATGCTACCAACCGCACTGAACAGCACAAGTTTACTGTCATCTGCAGCTGCTGTGTTCAGTGCACTTTGGACTTCCTTCATTACCTGAAAAATAAAAATGTCGTAAGAATAATTTTAATTCATCATTAAAAAGTAGCATGTTGTTCACTTCCCTTCCTCCCCCATGAGACCCTTCAACATCTTTAATTTTTCCTTAGGATCCACTCAACCATCTTATTAGGAAAGTTAACTTTCTTCATTATCCAAAAAAAATGGAAGTTAATGTATTAGACGCTTCGCATTTCAAAAATGTAATTAAACAAAGATAATTAAATCATTAAGGAAAGATCTATTAGGTGTAATCTATAACTAAAGGCACTCATTCAGCATTTCTGTAATTTGGACAGCAGATGGCATATGCAACCAGTACAGAAAAAAAAAGAACCTTAATTGAGGCTAAAGCTTTTTTCAAGTTGCACTCTGTAAATCACTGCACATCTTATAAAAGACAGCACAGATCAACACGGTCAGATAACAGAGTTTTTAAATGCAACTGAGTTGCACATATAGACGCTGTACATATAACACCTTGCAAGTAAGAACCTGTATTGTCTTTTGTGTACTTTTGCGCCTGAGTAACAAGCAGAAATAAGGCAAGGACTTCAAATTCCCCTCCCAAAATCAGAATTGTTCTAACCTCTGGATTTAATGAATTATTTTCAGATGATTTTGTTGATAGTAAAATGTGTGTGAATCCGTCTTGTTTCCTGACAACAATGTCTCTGTACCGGTACGCGCTCTCCGTTTGTCTCACGCTGAAACGTAGCCTTTTATCAAAGGGTTGATCTCTCCTGTCATCAATAAACCTTCGTTTGCTGGCTGTCACTCCTGTTACAGATGTCTGGATGTTGGTTGTACCATTGGCTGCTAATGCTTCCATAAATGTGGGTGTACCTGGAAATAGTTTAAACAAGTACAATTACATTTGATTAGTTCACGCATCTCAAAATCCCCATTAGCATGAAAACATGCAACTCATATAAAGAACACACAGTAAATATCAAAGTCAGTCTCCTGGAAGTTATTGAAAGAGACACTGTGCACAGAGCAAAACTGAAGTGACAAAGGGATGCAAGAAATTAATTTTACCGTTTTGAGAATATACAATTAGAATAAGCCAAACAAACCAATTGTTTACACTTTTTTTTTAAAGGGGAGAAATGTGTATTTAACATTCCTAATACCAATGCACTTCAGTAAATTAATAGTCTGCTTTCTCCCTTTCTAACATTTTAAATCATTTAACAGCATCAACACTGCTAAGAGAAAGCAAAAGGCTTTTGTTTTAATGAGAAGTTATTATAAAGAAAAAGACACTTAGAATAAACCAAATAAAGAATTTGATTGACAAGATCATAAAAAGCATAATAGCCTTGAAAGAAAAATAGAAATGAAGAAATGCAGACTATACTTCTTTTGAGAGGAGCACAAGAAGTGAAGTGATGTGATCCATGAAGTGATGGATATTTTAATGGATTCATAGACAATGAGATCTTTCTCATGTTCAACATTTTTTGCTATTGGAATTGGCAAATAGACAATTAAGTTTTGCTGGTCTTGTTCCCAATCCCTTACACAGAGGGAGTTTGAAGGCATGTAAATAAAAAGCCCATTCCTCTTGACACAGAAGGGACAGGTTTTTCCGCAATGCTCATTAGAAACATAATGCCAAATAATAACCATTCATTAGAGAAAATAAGAGAACATACTGGATCTACAATGCTTCTGTATGTTTAGGTCTCCATGCAAAATCTCCCCCAATTTGTCATACTAAAGTAATGGAGTGTGCATAGGACAGGGGGGTTAAAATATTGGGAAAGTGTGTTAGAGTCCAAGACAGTAAAGTTTTAACTTTTCCTGAGAATTGAGCTCTGAGACTAAAATCTTCTGGAAAGCCACTGCCCTTATCTCACTAACAGGTACTTCAGAACATCAAGCATACGATGTCTTAAGAAGTAGAGTCACACCATGTGTAAGTAAATTATTAATTAAATGTTATTGTAATTTGTCATTATCTTTCTGAATAAGCTGTATTTTAAAATTAAATTATTTCAAATTCTGTTTTAATTACGATGTACTTCAAACACTTGTGGGTCCAATGAAGACATTAAGGAGGCTCACTTAAGTGACTGGAATGTTCAATATCTTGATATTTCCACTGTATTCAAGTGTTGCTTACCTTGACTCATATGAAGTATGAGACAGACAATATGAAAAGAGACTACATTTAATTAAAATTTAGAACATTATACATTTTCCTACTTATATTGCAGAAACTGTCTCTGGATATAAATGAAGTTTTTATATCAAATATTTTAAAAATAAATACTTTATTATAAATACCTTATGATTAATTAGGCAAATTGTCTGTTTAAGGATCTATACAATAAGATTCTATTCTACTTTTTAAGGTCTTTCTTGTTGTATTAGTGATTTAATCCTCTTACCATCTCACTTTCTATGAAGAAGTTAAAGACAACTCAAAATTTTTAAGTTGTTTAAAGTAAGAGTAGGAAGAGTAAGAAACTGGATTCAGTTTGTGATCAGTTTCAGAGACAGAGATAAACAAAATTATACTAGTATTTTGTATTGACACAAAAATTTCACATTTATTCCCAAATTTTCCATAGCTTATAAAATCCCTTTCTATTTCATTTCAGCAGAATAAATAAAAATTTGGTGTATACTAAATATGAATTTGATGAGGAAGGCTTTCAACTTTTTTGAAATTGTATTACAGTAATTGCATTCCTCTAAAAGAATTCTCTTGAAAGGGAATTTTCAGGAACACCAATGTTGCCTCACATTTCATAATGAACACAAGAAGAAATTGTCCTTTTGTCCTAGCCATAGTGAAAAAGGTAGAGAATTGGGAGAACAGAATAGACTAGACTAAGCCAAAATGAGGAGTCAGTAAACTTGTGCAAGACCTTTGAGCCTATATTTTCCCACGACTCATTCTTTCAAAGATATACTCAAATACCAGAAAATTACTTCTGAGATGCAAGAGACAATGATTATATACTTTGAGAGACAAAACTTCTGGCAAGAAAGCTCAGGATGTAAACACCACAGGCCAATTTCCATGCTTACTGAACTGGCAAGAGACCTGATTTTTATATAAACCCTGTCCACACTTATCAATAGTTGGGAGTTTCAAACCACAAGCAATGGACAGCTGCAATTCTTGAAGAGGAAGAAGTCTCCTCTTTCCAATCACGTAAACACACTTCCAGGATACTTGGACTGGACTAAAAAAATCTGTCAGCTTTAGAAACTGTAATTTTGCACAGGGAGACTCAGCCAGCCAGTTCAGAACACAGCACTGAAAGGTTTAAAACATGTTTGTTATTGTTTGTCATCACCAACAGACTTTTGGGACCCTGTATACCTGACAGCACAGGGGGCTCTTTCTCTTGGCATTTGGTCCTTGGAAGCAAAGGGACAACTCACACATAAAGCAATATGTCATTCTGTAAGCACACAGGCAAAGGTGGTTTTGCTGCTCAATCTTGAGCACATGGCACAGCAAATAGGGATGAAAAAAAAAAAAAAAGTTCAATTGAGAGTTAACTGTATTGCCAGAGATTTCCTTACATGAAAACTTTACATTAAGGTGACTTATCTTCAGGATAATTACAGCTGCATTTTAGTATTTTAAAACAGAGTTTTGTAAAAACCAAAAGCAGTTCTGCATTTTAAGACATTATTGGAGATAGCATAACAAAGATAAAAAAACACTGTGGCCCTCTCCTTTCAAACTGAGCTTCCAAAAATAAGTAAGGACTTGGAAAAAAAGGCATTTACCCTGGATATTGTCAACTAATGAAGAACTGTTTGTTTAAGGCATAAACAAACAGCTTATAGCTATATACAACCTTTCCACATGCAAATTGTCAACAGTGTGATCTCAGAGCTGAAGACAGTAGTACTACTTTTAGACAGTTTGGACAAAGCCAAAGCTTCACTACACAGATGCAAAAGGAAGTTAAGACGACTACTTGGTTCTGCAGCTGTTGACCAAAATCTGATAACAGTCAGCAATTCCATGCAACCGCCCTTGGAGGGAAAAAAAATAAAGCTATGAGCAACAGATAAGAAAGGAACTGGTCATATCCAAAGGAAGACAAACACAAAATACCAGTTTTGGGAAAGGGGCAGAACAAAGGTGCTTTTGTTAAAAACACAAGTTATGCTCACTTCACAACAACCTAAAATTAAAATCCCAAGCAACTCACTAAGATATTCGTGCCTCACTGCTACTGAGAAGTTCAGTTTACCTTACATATCAAAACCTGAATACAAATACTCCTCTCCCTGCAACAATTCTGGGGATGCATCCAAAGAGACGGTCTAAAACCAGCCAAGCTTCTTTTGCACACTTCTTTTTGGGTACATATGTGTTGGTGCTCTTAATTCAGGGTTTGACTGACAGAGTATGCTGTCTCTGAAAGCTTAGCATAGATGCCTAAGGAACAAGCACAAAAACATGAGAGGTGTGAACAATACTGTCTGAGTATTTTCTTTAACTCCAGCCACCAGAAACTTAGCAATTACTAAAATGTGCATGCACAGAATCATAGGCTGCACCAAACCCCATGTAATTAAATTCTTCTTCTTCATGGGATTGTCCAATTTACTTTTTAAACCACTATGGGTTTGTCTTCCAAAGTATTTATTGGCAGCAAGTTCTGGAACATACATGTTAAATTTCTTCATTCCTTTTATCAGAGCCCTTCTCCAGATTGACTAGCCCCAGTCTTATTTCCCTTTTCTTCTTCCAGAAAAGGCCAGTCCAAGTCTGTCATTCTTCTCCATGCTTCTTCCTCTTCTGTTAACTCTTGGAACAGGGCCCAAAGTGGGACACAATATTCAATTCAGGTTTTGTTTTGTTTTAAGCTACCACCAAACAAATGTATGCAGAAAACTATCCAAAACAAACCCAATGCCCTTTCCCTGAGCAGCAACACACAGCCAGGAACCAGTCACTGTTTTATGTTTTGCTATAGGCACTGTTTGGGATGTAAGCCTGTTTTGTCCCCTCCTCAATGCCTGGCATTCATCTGCACCGAAAGTCAGCTCTCATTTTACTCATGAAATCACTCAATATTTTCAGAGAAGCCTTCCGTGCTCACAAGAAGCTTTCAGAACTCCCATGTCTTTCCTGTACCCTCCTGGCACCACTTATGTCCTTTCCTACACTAAGTGATGAAGGGGTTAATGAGAAGCATCCCACTTAAAAACGCAAATGAACAAACACCACCAGCAACAATGTCTTAAAGTGTTAACTGCAGAAATAAACCTACAACTGTAACTGATTACAACTCAAGTACCAGGCAGGGAGCAATATGATCTGGAAAACTGATTGGTAAAAACAACTTGAATTTTCAATGAAAAAAAGAAATTAAAATTTGGTGCTAGAAGTAAGTTATATGTTTTCCTTAAGTTCTTTCTGTACTTTTACTTCTTCATTGTACCCTGTATATATAATCCACAAGAGTTCAAAATTAGTTGTCCAGTGCAGCTTGCCTCACATTTAATTTTTTGCCTACAAACAGAGGCGTTTTGTTACATGTTCATATATATTAGCAATCTCTAACTGTAAACACTGTTAAGCTTTTCCAGTCTTAACTCTGCACTACATCAAATACTTCACAGGAGACAGGAATTCCAGACAGTGATACCACAATGCAAACATAATACAGAAGAGTTTCCAGTATTATGTCCACTTCTTCAGTGATTACACAGAAAATATCTTAGAATTGTAGTGTATTAGCACAGACTAGAGAAACTAAAAATGAGGGTTCTAAACCTCCTATGTACATGCCTATTTTTTGTCTGAGTATGCATATTAATAGCACTTACATTTTTAAATCAAACAAAAGTTCCACTTA